CTTCAAAGGCATTTGCAAAATTTAACAAACCAGAAAAACCAAAGCAAAGCAAAACAAAACAAAAAAACAGGTAGAGAGAAACAAACAAAATAAGCTTGATTGGACATTTGCTGCGGGAGTTCCCTCTTGACCCGCTGGTTTTAAGTGAGTTAAATTGGCCCCATTAACTCCAGTTGGAGGTGATTTTCTTCCAATAGTTACCAAGATTCTGAAACCTCCTTGCCTGCGTGACACTCAAAAAGGTTTCTTTAATAAAGTAACACATGCCTTTTTGATTTTATTAAAAGATTTACTGAGTTTACCGAATGCTTCAGCTTTTCAGACATCATACCCGAGGGCTGGCAGGCCCCCACCACTCCTATTTCTGACACAAAAGTGGGAGGAGCTATATGAGTAGACTGACTACAGGGCACAAGGGTGGAAAGTCTGACAGGTTTCTGCGGAGAGGAAACGGTCTGGGCAGAGCCCCTGGCTTCAGCTGGCATGGCGGGGGGCTCCCTTGGCTATCTCAGACACACACTGTTCCTTTCATTCTAACTAGAAAGCCCAGTCCTTGAAGGCTACACCCCACTGATTTAAATAATACCTCTCTCACAAGGGAATACATTAAAACTTCCTCTTTAAATGGTGTTTATTTTGAGTTTCACAGCATTTGCTAAAGTGCTTTCCAAGGTAATGTATGGTTGGTAAAGAGCCTATTCGACCTACTCCAACATATACCACCTTGAACAAAAATTTTCCAAACCCTCAATACTTCAGAACGCAAAAGGACACCAAGTACACATTCAACCTTCCGGTGGAGAACATTGTGGTGATGGGAGGGATCACATGGTCATTATCCACTTTCTCTCCCTCTAGGTTCAGCTTAGCAGTCACTTCTGTCAAACTTTTCCTCTTTCCATCTGCTCCCTCCTATGAATTCAGCTGACCTTTTCCAGCTATCAGAACCCTTCTACCATAACATCCATTTCCTTTACACCAATCATTTCCACTTTTGAGTTTCTAAAAGAACAGGCAAAATTTTATCCATCGTTGACTACACCCCTCTCAGCTCACTGTAGCATTATCTATCCACTCAAAAACTCTCTGAGGAATTAATTCATACCTGACCAGAGCTTCACTAAGTCAACTTTCCTGTGATTTCTGGTTTCCCTCATCTACCAAATAAAGATTGAGCTGATGTGTTTTTAAGATAATTATGTAGTTATATATGATTGCCAAGTACTTCAAGACCATAAAAAAGCTTTATAAATGCCAACCATGATTATAACCCTTTGAAACAATGGGATATATGGTTCATAAGGAGAGAAAGATGAGACATAACAGGTAATTCTTCTTGCTCAGTCCCTGTTTCTATCCCCACCCACCACCAAGCAGTAACTCAAAAACATAAATTTGGAACAAGAGAGGAAGGCTAATCCCAGGTCTGCATGGAATTTTTAGGAGCTACGCTGCACACACACACACACACACACACACACACACACACGATACCCATTCACTGTTGAAATGGAGACCCAGAAAAATTAAACCACCCGGTCTTCTATATTTAAAGTTGTTTTGCCCTTCCAAAGCAGAGGATTAGTGAGTTGGAAGAGGGACTGCTCAGGCTAAAACACTGTCAAACCCTGACTCGTGGTTCTTCTGTGGCTGGGCCACTAAGGAAAGAGACGCAGGACATGTCTTGTTCTCCTTTTGTTTTTTCTTCCCCTCCATAAATCCTATGAACTATGCAGACAAGGTGTGTCTTGAGAATAAATGCAGCTTCACAGTTTTCTCCCAGCAACATGTAAAGAAAAGAGAAGGCAGGAACACCTTGTTCGGCTATTTTATTGTGGATCCTTAACAAGATCTTTGAAGCCAAAGCTGACTCATGAACCCAGCTTTTCACATGGCGATTGCCATCCATTGTAGAGCAAACCAGGATCAATGCTCAGATTGTTCCAGTCTTGACACTGCCTGGCCTCAGAGGTCAGGAGCACGCACTCAAAACATTGTGATCTGCACGGAGGAGGAGGGAAGTCGGGGTGTGGGTGTGGGTGTGTGTGTGCATGCACACATGGGTGGGTTGATAGATTGAATCTGCAGCTCTAACCCAGCAGCAGGCTCAAAGAGTGATTGATGCTACTTTTACTTGTCTTGATGTGTCTGAAGAAATCAACAAGGTCCAAAACAAAACAGGCACTATGTCTCATGTTGGAAACATCACATTATCTGCGAGCAGGGGATTTGTGGGTGGGCTGCTGGGACTATGTGGGGAGATCACTTCACATCACAGGCCTCTTGGCAGGAGGTGGGGTGTGCATAATCTTGGACCTGTGGTTTCAAAGTTTTGCCAAATGGCTCCTGTTTCTGGATGTGGACTCAGTTCAGCTTTTCCCCACTTCTCATCCGTGCTATTGTCAGTTGCCTCAGAACGTTTAATGCTTTGGCCAAAGCTGCCGGTGAGGTGGCCCCCATTACCTCCCCTCTTGACGTCAGTGAGGGAGTTGTTCCCTGTGGCTGTCTTATGGGAAATAATTCAGCATTTGTACTTCAATTAAAATTCATGGCTATATATTATTAAATGGTACTGACTCATTCCATGGCTTCCCTTCAGCTGATTAAGTGCCAAAAATGTTACATATGCGTCAGTGATGAAGAGTGCATTAAAACCATGATTCCCTTGTCAACTGACAGTTAGGGCTGCAAAGCAAACACACACATCCCAGGGCCAGAATATGCCTGGGTCCTGGGCCCGTCTTTTCTAAAGAAGTTTAAGTTCGAGACCCTTTCAGCCTTTGATGGAGAGAAAATGGAAACATGAATCCTCTCCCTTTTATGAGTTTTGTGAAAGCGGCGCTGGGCACAAGGTATCGGACACGGGGCTGAAGCAAATTGAATTACACAGCTCATATTCAGTGTATCTCAAGGAGAGATGTGGACATGCACTGCTGCACACCCCTCCGCAGGGGAGTTAAAGAGAACAAGTTTTCCTGCTCTTAAAGCATCGAATCTCTTCTTAACCTTCCCTCATGGTTTTAAATTTAATTTGCCTGGGAGGATGACCAGGGCAGCAATAGTCCTGGGGTTTTTTGCTTATGTCCGGCTCAGAAAACTGTGCTTCTCCATGCAGAGGGACCACACGTGATCAGTTCTCTACTCTCTTTTCCTTTGCCTGCAAAACAAGACGTTGTATTCCGAGCCCACAGTGTGCCACTTGTGAACGTACTCTGTGTTAGAAGCATCCAGTACAATAATAGCGATGAAAGCAAAAGCTTTGAGAGCTGTAGGCGTCTTGCACATGGAAGGGTCACTCATCAAGGGAAATGGTCACTTCCCAAGTGACACACATGGAGAATCAAAACACTGAGGTTTTGTTAAGCCGGGCTGCTTTGACCACATACCCCGTCTGTATGTGGAGAGGAATGACCCTGCTTCCCCACTGATCCTGACCTTCAGATTGACGGATTAGTGAGCAAGTCTTGTCTTTGGCCAAACAGATAAAGAGACCTCATCCTCCAGGCAGAGGAGGCTCCATGCCTGGGTTCTGACCCAAAGTGCCCTTGGCCAGACATTCTTACGTCACCAGACTCGGCAGCTTGGGGTTTACCCCAGCTCCGGTTGCTTTAATTCTGCAACCACAGGATCCTCCTAGAGCCTCGGTTTCTATCCAAAGGGAAAGATAGAATTGAAGTGGGATTGCTGAGGTTTCTCCAGTTCTAAAAGCTCAATTCTAAGGTGTTTTTCCACTCTTCCATGAGAGGAATTCTACAGCACACCGATGGAAATTTCTGAGTCTCACTTTAAAGGCTCTCACTTCAAAGGCCACTCCCTAAATGTTCGGGTGAAATTATGTATGGTTTGATGTGAAGCAGATTAAAAACAGATGCTTTAGGACAGACATGATGTTCCAGGTGTAAAGCAACATGGCGAACCAGCCCAACAGGAATATCTACCTGTGCTGTCAGCAAAGAGCACAAGATGCGGATCTCTCCCAAGGACGTCTTGGAGGCCTCTGCCTACTTTCTGGGACTGAGCCTCAGAGTGAGCACTGAAGTCCCCGCCTTTCCCAGAGCACCCATAGCACCCAGGAAGCAAAACCCGTGAGGAGCCCATGACTGTTTTCTTTGTTGATGTCTTGTTGCCAGAAAACAGAAATTAGATCCGTGCCCAGATCCTCCTATCAGCACATCTGAGTGCCAAGAAGCACTTCGCAGTGGAAAAGCAAACAAATAACAAAGCACTGAACCTCTGAGCCCTAAAAATGGGGTTTAAAGTCGTATAATCACACATGTGTAATGAACCCATTCACACTTCTCAAAATGTTAGCAGAAATCAAGTTTATCCTATCTGTCAATATTTCTACAACTGAGTTTTGTGTTTTTGTTTTGTATTTGACTGCGACAAATACAACCAAGGACGTCATTCTCAGAAGAAGGAGACCATAGACCAGAAAGGGAAAGGGGGTAGTTCCAGGTCACACAGCAAGGCAAACTTGATAGGGCTGGGATTATAATCTAATGTCCTTTCCACACTCCCATGATGGAAATGTAACCAGAAGCTTTGGTAGGGAAAGCAGATGGCCCGTCAATCACTACAGCTCATTTTTGGGGTTTTGTTTTGGAAAATGAATGTTCTTACCATTGACCAAGATGGTAAATGGCAGAAAGTACATTTTACCTCTACCCGTGCCACCCAGAAAAGTAGGTGATCTTCCAGTAGTTTAGCATATACAGGCTCCCTGCAGGTAAAAGAGCCCCAAGTCCAGGGAGCAGGGTCTCTGCAATGTCCTCCTTAGCACCAGGCTCAAGAATCAGACATTCTCAAGATGCACAGCGCAGTTTGCCAGCCACCTCTGTTCCTTCTGAAGCAGGTTCCCATCTTCCTTGGGCCCTGCGCCTGCGAGCATAGCAAAAGCAGTACAGCGTTGCTCCTGGGTTGCCGCCGAAGCTCCTATGGGAGTCAGTTTTCTCTGAAGATAAAACATATCTTGAGAGAAGACAAATAAAGACCAGATATTAAAATAAAGGTCCCTTTATTAAACATCTCAGACACAAGCACGGATCTGAGCGCTGGACAGCAACCATGAGGAAGGGTAGATCAAGAGCGGGGTCAACAGGGATGTGTTTTTCTGACTTAAACACAAAGATTCCTCTCCACCAGCGGCCGCTGTGCTCCAGTGGCTCCGCAAAGGTGCCCTGTGCCACGTGGGGCTGAAGGTCTTCTTCCAAAGTCACTGAGTGAAGGCCATTCCACGTCAGCTTCTATGTGACGCTTTAAAGACACAACTCCCAGGACAGTCCTTCCGGAGCACTGGCAGCCGGGAGGATCGAAGCTTCCAGTGTAAGTTTCCTCCCTGATGAAAATGCCAGAGCCACAGCTCCACCACGGGGGCCCTGGAAAGACCGATGACCCCGATCTCACAGTCCTCACTGTGGGTCCTTCCCGGAGCCAGGGTGTCCTCCGTGGCCTTGAGGGCTGAGGCAAGGGAGAGTCTGCCAGAGGCTCTGCCAAGCTGAGCTGGCACTTGGGACAGAAGAAGCCGAGCTCAGGACTGAAAGGCACTAAGCCAGAAAGGCCGCTGAGAGCAAGGCATGCGCTACCGTTAGGGCTGGGGCAAGCACGAGAGCTGTGCTTTCACCAAGGACCCGCGTATCCTCTCTGACCTTTGTATGCCCAGCGAAATGTGTGTTTCTGTGTGTGTTTGTGTGCATGTGTTGTGTTTTTTTGTGTAGTGTATGTCTGTGTATATCCTCAGTGTGTGTGTGTGTGTGCGGTGTATATCTCTGTATGGCATACATGGTGGGATTTTGTGTATTTGTGTGGTGAGTGTCCATGTGGTGTGTGTATGTTTGTGTGGTGTCATATTTGTATGTGGCATAAATTTCTGTATTTGTGAGCTGTGTATTTGTGGACCATGTTAGTGTGTTGTTTGTGTGGGGCATTTGTGTTGTGACATGTACTTCTATATTTATATATTATTTTGTATGTATGGTGTATATTTGTATGTTTGTGTTTTGTCTCATATGTCTGGGGTGTCTCTGTATGTTTTGATGGTGCATTGTGTGTGGTGTGTTTGTATGTTTGTGTGTTGCTTTGTGTATGTGTTGTGCTGTGTGTACGCCATGTGTAGGTTGGTATGGTGTGTGTGTGTGGTGTATGTGTGCAGTGTATGTTGTGTGTGTAGACTGGGACTGGGCTTTGAGAGGCAGAGTCAGAAGGAGCAAGCACGTCTGGGGACAGAGGGGACATGGAGTGACTCGTATTAACCTGTTAATTTATACCACGGCTCTGTACAAAAATAAAAAAGTTCCTCTAAGATTAACCATTTAAATAAATATTTGATAGAACATTCTTTCTCATTGTTATAGCTCATCCTTGGGGTTGATACTCAGTTCATGCTTCCCTTGCTGCTCTTGATCCAGAATGGCAATCACTTCATCGGCCTTTATTCGCTCCTGCAAAAGAGACAAGTGACACATTTCCATTACAAGTGAAATAACCAGTCCCAGAGGCAGAATGCTCCCAGGCCTCCATCTATGCAAGGAGTGGGGCTGAATCCAGTTGGGGATTAAACCTCATCTTCACTCCCGGCCTGGGTCCTGGGCCTGAGACTGTGATGTTCTTAACGATTCCTTTCCCAGGTTCTGTTCCTGCAGAGTTGTGCTGTGTGTTCAGCCACTTACTCCTCTTACTACCTTGTGATGTCACTGCCATCTCCAGTGGGGTTCAGTGTTCAGACTGAACTCCCCATTTCCTCCCCACAGATTTCTTCTACTCTTTTCATGTTCTGCCCACCCCAGACTACCACTTGCCTTCAAAGCCTGACCATGGTTTCTTGCTTCTGATAAACTATCTGGTCCTGACCTTTCTCCGGTTTCTGTCCCTTTGACTTCGAGGCATGTTACTATCACATTATTTCAGGGCAGGGGTTCTCAACCTTGGTACTGCTGACATTTTAGACCAGATGACTTGCTGTGTGGGGCCATCCTGTGTGCTGTAAATGTTCCACCACACCCCTGGCCCCTATTTACTACAGGGAGCCAATAACATCTCTCAAAGTTGTGACAACCCAAATGTCTCCAGACATTGCCAAATGCCCCCTGGAGGGCAAATGCCTCTTCTTGAAAACCATGGGTTTAGGTCCTCATCAGTTTTAACTCAGCTGCTTCAGAAGCCTGCACGTTGGTCTCCCTAGTTCCTAACTCAAAGGCTTCTCATGGATCCTGAGTACTTAAGTCTGACTATCTCCCCCTCCTGCTCAGAGATCCCAACGCTGTAAGGAGTTCCAATTGCTAGGAGTTCCAGGTTCAGTTTTCTCAAGGTGATTATGGGAAACTAACTGATTCAAGTCTCTCTGTCATCATTAGCCTTACTTCCTCTCCTTCCCTCTCCTCACCTCACAGGCCAACTCTCTAACCTCCTAGCTGACCTCAAGGGCTGAAGACAGCAATCTTCGAAGAATCCCCCAGTCCCTGTCTGGATGCAGTGCTCCTCGGGATGCTCCCTGCCTCCTGTCTTTCCTATTATTCCACATCCCTCATCACAGACCCAGCTGGTCTACCTGAAAATCCATCTCAGACGTTCCACTTCTTTCACCATCTCTCTTGTTACTAAAGCCAGATGTGCACGTTAGCTAAACCAGTTTTGTGGATCCAATGATTTCTCAGGATTGGAGACTTACTAGAAGGGATAGCGCACAAATCTACCTTCCCACCAGTTAGAATAAAACTCACTTGCTTGACCTACAGCATCTGGTACCTGCCTTTTCCGTATTCTTCTATACCACACCCTTGCTTGTAACAGCATGTTCCAACCACTCCCCCTTCCTTCCTTCCTTCCTTCCTTCCTTCCTTCCTTTTTTCCTTTCCTTTCCTCCCACCCTCTCTCCTTCCTTCCTTTCTTCTTCCCTCCCTTTCTCCCTTTCCTCCCTCACACTCTCTTTCCCTTCTTTTCTTTCTCCTTTCTTTCCTTTATTTGGTCTTTCTCTTTTCTTCTCTTGTGCTGTGGATTGAACCCAGGGCCTTACACCACACTCTCTACTGCTGAGATATAATCCCAGACTCTTCTTTCTTTTTCTTCATTACTTTAAGGACTCTTTTGTCACTAGGCCTTTGCAAATTGTCCTCTGCCTAGAATACTCCACTCCAGGCGTTTATCTTTTTGTCATTCAGGCTGTGGCTCATATATTAAGTACTGGGAGAGACCTCTCAGTCTATTCATCACCCTCAAATCTGCTACCTTATTCCATTTTCCACCTGTAACTCAGCACAATCGGAAAATGTTTCCATTATTTATATTTTTGCTTATTTGTTTTCTGTTGCTTTCCATTACAATGTAATCTCCAGCAGAGCAGGGAATCTTATCTCCTGGGTCACTGCCATATTTCCAGTGCACAGAAAACCGACTGACATTTGGCAAGGACTCCTTAATATTCAGTGAATAAATACACATTCACAGAAGAAGGCTCTCCTTATCTAAAACTCTTCCCTCTAAAGTACTTTTACTCCTCCTCTTTCTTCTTGTTAGAAGAAAAAAAAATAAGAGTTATTTATATGTTGTCTGTAAGAAGCACACTTCATTTCCAGACTGACAATAAAAGGCTGGAAAACACTGCTCTAAGCAGCTGGAGCAGGAAAGTACACGGGAGCAACACGGGAGTAGTTCAGTGGTGTGATCGAAATGTAAGGTGAAAGTTTAAATTTAAAAAATGGCAAAAGATACATTGCCATTAGTCCCTCTCAAAATACTACCCCCCCCATGCTTTGAATATACTTATCCATTTTTCTTGTTGCTTTCTGAAGCAGTGAAGTAAGTCACTTTCCTTGGGTGTCTCTATAAGGTGTGATAAACAATATGGTGACTGTTGCTGCTAAGTGCCATCAATGGAAATGTAGACTCTTAAAAACATTACAATGAATCCTCATCCACATTCCCTGTATCTGGCACTATGCAGCTTCTGGCTCTTCCCCAAAGTCAACATGACCATGAAATGTAAACGTTTTGAAATGATTCAGGACACGAAGACAGCCACAAAAGCACTACTAAAGACACTTATGTAAGAGGATCGACAGAACTGCTTCAGAAAGTGGCAAGAGTCATGAGATCTGAGTGTTTAAAGGCAGCAGGAATATTTTCAGGGAGATTAAAGTCTGTGCTTCTTTTACTACAATAAATTTTAAAAAATTAAACATTCACCATAGTTTTGATGGTACCCATTCAATTCAACAAAGTTGACTTCAACTAAAATTTGTCAGAAGAGACAAAGATCGTCATTACATATTATTAAAGGAAAATTTTGATTAAGAAAACATAGCAATTACAAACATATATGCAGCAAATGTTGCCATAAACAAGTTTATAAAATAAATACTACTTGCTTTAAAAGGACAGATAGACATCAAAAAAGTCATAGTGGGTGTCATGGCTTGTGTTTAGATGTCCCTCCCAAAGCCTCATGTGGTGATAGTTGGGGCTTTTTCAGAGGTGGCTGGATCTAGAGTACACGATTGATTTATGGTGCAATGCTAGCATTAAGGGAGTGAGTGCTATCCACCTTAAGGGAAGGTAGCCTGGATACAATATAAGGGACAAAAAGAGACTTGCTGTTAGTTATGTATAGTTATTGCTTGCCATCTTCTGCCCGACATGAACATTCCTCCTGTGTGATGTCCTCTGCCACACCACCCTGCCTTGGAGACAGCTCACTATCGACTGAAACCTCTACAAACTGTGAGGTTTAAATAAACCTTTCCTCCCTTAACTTCTGGGTGCTGGGTATTTTGTTTCAGCAAGAGAAGAGTAACTAAGACAGAATTTTGTACCAGAGAACTGGGGTCACTGCTGTGACTATACCTGACTACGTGATTCAGGAGCCTTTGGAACTGACTTGTGGGAAGAGTTTGAAAAAGTCTGGAGATGCGGGCTGAAAAAGTAGAGCTGGAACACCTTAGGCTGTACTTCATGGGAGATACTGGTCAGAGTTCAAAAGATCAGAAAGCTGATAGAAATAATGCAAGTAAAGGTCAGGCTCAGGAGGTTTCTGTTGGGAAGGACTGCGTTGGCTGTTGGAGCCTATAACATATGTGTTATACCTTGGCAGAAAGATTGTCTGCATTTTGCTCCTGATGAGGGACCTTGAGACTGAGATTAATGATAGTGGACTAATTAATCTGGCAGAGGAGATGTCAAAGCAGTCTAATGTTGAGGTGGTGGTATGGCTACTGTTGGGGGATTTTAGCCAGATTTATATCGGAAAAAGCAAAGTGCCCAGCAGAATGATTTAGAATGCTGTGATCTGGCCAGAAAGGAAATACCAGTAAAGCTGTGGACTGCAGAGACAGAGCAGAGAAGATCTTGATTTTGAAGAAGGAACAACAGAATAGAAAAGATGTCTTGAGGCCATCACAAGAAGTGGCAGGATTCTCCGCTTTGCAGACTCAAAATTGCAAAAGTGTATGACTTTGTTTTGAGAAGAGAGCCACAGAGTATGTTCCAGAATGGTGGTGACCTAGTGAAGTTGCTCCTCAAAATTTGGTTTATAGGCACTCGACCCCTATAGCCAAGACAGAAGGATGCCTGACTCAGTACTGTTGTAATTAGTGGCAGATCCTGGCATCATTCAAATGGTGCTGGTTTTAGGTTCATGCAAAATGCAAGAGTTGTGGGGTCAGGAAGGCTTCCATCTAGATTTTAGAAGAAAGGCTGGGAGGCCAGGCTGTGTGCCCAAGAGGGCAGTTTGTGAAGTTGTGAGTGTGAAGCCAAAAGTGCAAGTGAAGACCCCAGAAGTTCAGAGAAGCCAGGAACATGGATTGTCTGAAGAAAGTTGCAAGGAAGGAGCAGAATCAACCCAAGAGAGATCCCATAGTAGCTACAACCACTGCAGTGCCAGTGGGGCAGAACCATCCAAACTCTTTGGAGTTCATATCTTGCCAAACATTACCTTGGTTGCTGGACATGGAAATACAGAACTTTATGTCTGCCCTGCTGGATTTTGCTCTTGCTTTGTTCCCACTCCTATCTAGCCTTGTCTTTGTACCTTTTCAAAGGGAAAATGTCTACTTTTGCCATTGAATGTTGGAAGTTTTTCACTTTTTCATTTGTACAGGGGCTTGGAGCTAAGATTTTGCCTTAAATCTCACAGGAGACTTTGGACTTGGACTTTTCGGCAATGCTGAAATTGTTACAACTTTGACAAGTCTTAGAGATGGACTAAATTCCTTTTGAATAAAGGGATGTGCATGAGTCTTTGGAGGGCCAGGGCAGAATGTTATGGCTTGTGTTTTGATGTCCCCCGAAGCCTGATGTGGTCATAGGAAGGGCTTTCTCAGAGGTGGCTGGATCTAGACTATGTGACTGATTTACAGTGCTAGGCTAGGATTAATTGTGCTAGCATTAAGGGTGAGAGTGTTATCTACCCTAAGGGAGGATAGCCTGGATACAATATAAGAGACAGAAA